TGATCCTTCTGGAACTTTTTTGGCTTCCTTGCTTGCTTTTCTCATCTTCTTACTACAACGAATTTACCGTAAATGTCTATGGGTCATTGTTATACAGGGGACCAATCTCAGTTTCAGAGGCTGCAACTTCAGCTGGCAGGTCAGCTTTACACATGTGTAGTCTGTTGGCCAGTATCTAACAGAATCCACTGCGTTTTTTAACAAAGAATAATGAGTTTCTCATTATGTCAACATACCCCAAATAATCGAAGGCAAATAAAGCATATTGCAACTAAGAGGAAAACTTAGTAGACTGGGCTACCAGTGGCAATTAGGTGCTGAAGAATAAACAAAGGCACTCAGGAAAGGGGCTGGCACGTATCACCCAAAATTCAAGATGGGCTTTCCTGCACATCTGCAACAGCAGCAGAATGGAAATGTATAAAATAGCTCACGTGAACTGCATTCAGAATATAGTTAGGAGCCTGGGGAAAACCAGAGTTAACCATTCAGATGGTGATCTGCAAAGAACATGAAAAAGAACAAGATGTGGGGAGGAGTCCAGGGCACTCGTAGGTTCTGACATGGACACACTGTGTGACCCAAATGTTTTGGAAGACACCACCATTTAAGGTTAAACTTGCTCCACAGTCCTACGGAATCAACAGTGAGAGACTGCCATTAGCAACAAGCTATGACAACCAGTACAGGAACAAACAAACAAAACTAAACCAAACAAACAAAACAAACGCACACACGTTCACAATGGGCCTGAATGCAAACTTAAAACTATCTGGAATAAAATAGAATCACACTTAAGCAGAAATAGGACTCTTCATTACCATCATTCGCCCTGCAATAAATCAAGTTCAGTGTCTTTCATTTACGTGCGAACCCACCTTCCTGGTGGCAGACCCACGTACGTGGCCGTCATTGACTCTAACGCTCTAATTCACATCATACACATGAAGGTCGGGGGAAACAAAAGCTAGATGTGTGAGGATGGAGTTGGGCTGACACTCACCACAAACTTCTCACCATTCTGCTCCACATGTTTGTATGTGGGGACCGATATGGGCACTGCTTGCTTTTCTGTGTAATCATAAAATGATTGTCCCAACGAGTCGTCACTGGGATCTAGGTTATCTGCCTCATGAGGAGGCACAGATAACACTGTCAAGATCAATTCCTTCTCGCCTGCTCGGATCAGGTCCACCACCTGCTTGTGTGTCGCCCCCTCAACATTCACGCCGTTCCTAAGGGGAAAAAGGGAAAAAGACAATCCCATAAACCAGAAGGGTCCAAATACCTTGTAGCTCCACCCTCCTGCCCCCACTCCAGTGGCACGCAGAATGAACCATAAAATCAAAGGATGAGTTTGGTTCCAGAAAAGCTGTTTAGGTTTTTACAGATCAGAGTGTCCAAAGGTGTTTGCAAACTTACGGCGGGGAAAGAATGGAAACAGGTGAGCGGACCTACCCTTCCTCTATGCTAGAATCCCACACACAGCTTCAGGAAAACACGTGGGAAGGAGGCGAACGAAGCTGAGGGTCCAATCTCCTCGCCCTGAGCAAGCACGTATAAAATGCAGTGCAAGTGGCTTCCAATAACCCTGCCATCTGTCTGAACTGTCCTTTTTAAACCTCCTGGAAATCCTGCTAAAAGGAATTTTTCACAAAATGCATCCCCTGAATTTGTAAGGTCTCAAAAAACATAACTTAATTCTTTTACATTTATGTCTGATTTCTCCCCATATCAAATTAGTCAACTTAATTTTTCTTTATACCAAGTTTCGTCTCCTTGGGAGTTAAATGGTACATATCTCCATACATACTAGTTTCTTCTATCCCTCAGTTTTTTAAAAGGCAACGAGAAGACCTCTCTAGAATTTCATTACCTGACCCAACTTCCTTTGGGCTCCCAATCATTTCCATTCATCTCTCTTAGAATTCTATCCACTCCTTTCCTGCTCTGTGTAATCTGTTCACACTGAAAAAAGGTACATCTAAGGCTAGATAGTACCTCAACCTACTCATTCTCTTTCCTGTTTCACTGTGTAGGAAAAGTACAAGGTTTGGAAGAACAATAATTTTGTCAAGAAAGATGCTGAGTCTCCTAAAACTCACTCCGCCAAGCGAACCACCTTCACAGAATGCTGAGCCAGCCTGCTGCCTCAGCAAAACCACCGGGCAGCTGACCCAGAGGTTCCCACCAGGGCTGGCCCCAGCGGGCTCGGAGGTACACACCTGGCCTGCAGTCGATTTGATAAAATCTTAACTACCCTTTAGGGTTAAACTCTTCTTCGGTCCTGTTCCAAACCATTAGGGTTTTTCCTTCCTGAAAATAATGCTAAGTTTAGTAACAAACCTTCCACCACCAACTTTTCAGTCACTGGAATTGTCTCTGTCAGAGTCTGGTATCTGAAACATCCATTTATATAAACAGAACAGGCAGGAGATCACCCCGCAAGCCTCTCCTCGTTTTGGGTTTAATAATCTAGTTAGCAAATTCAGCACTCTTGACATGTCCCAACCTAAAGTCTAACACACACACACACACACACACACGCACACTCACACTCAGTAATTCCACAACTGGCTAGCTGTAGAAGAAAATCAAGAGCCCCTTCCACAGATGGGAACTGGGGCTTTTAAAATTCTGATCAGGTCAGATCAGTGACCAGGAAAAAATGGTCACCTCTTTGATAACAGAGCAGGATGATAAAAGAAGAAAATGGGCTTTGGAGCCAGGCTTACACAGGTTCAAATCTGCCTGTTAGTACCAGAATTAGTCTGGATCGAGTTATTTAACCTTTTTTAGTGCTGCCGACCACATCTGTAAAATGGGGCCAATAATAAGTCCCTAAGAGAGTTTTTGTGAGGATGAACGTAATAAAATGTAACTTGCCAGGAGTGGTGCCCGCACACTCGCATTTGAAGGTATCCAAAGGAAAAAAGAGCTATGTGCCTGATGGTTATGAAGAGACTTTGGTTAAAGAAGAAATGGAAACCTAATGCTGGGTAGTGGCAAAGGATTTCATCTAAATCTTTGGCCTTATTAGTAGTTCTGAGAAAATGCTTTGCCGGTAGAAGAAATAAAATCCAACAAGCAAGTTAGAAATCAATACAGAGCATTTCCTCTATCCTTAAGATCTTAGCTAACTCGCGAATATCCTTGTTAGTTTTTTTTTTTTTTTAAACAAAGTGGGAACCACTAACCCTTTGAGACGGAACAAAATATCCTGGAACCTAAAACAAGATATTTTATATTAGTACAGTTTTATGAGGTGCATATTTGTGAAAACCGTTTAAGAACTGATGCTCAAATCTTACTTTTCAGCTGCCTAATTTTTTTCTGTTAAAGGACGTTTACTCTGTAGATAGACTTGGGAGCCAGTGAACACCTAGAAAATGTGTATGTAAAACTGTATTTGTGTGCATGTATGTATGCATTTTGTTTCCTGGGGAGAGGGTTCACAGCTTTCATCGGCTTCCAAAAGGAATGTGTAATCGCTAGAAAGGTTCAGAATTACTGCTTTCAAGGCCCCTGCACCCATTTAGCTTTCAAGTCAAAAGGCACTGCTCCCTGGGTCACTCACAGAAACAGGCCCTGAAGGCCATCAGAGGAACCAGAGACAGGCTTCCTGCGAGGGCCAGCGGGGAAGAAGGGCGTTCATGTAGGTTTCACTTCTTTATTAGTAAGAAGCTTCGCGACTTGGCTATCATCCCAAAAACCTCTTTCAAAAAAAGGGCAGGAAAGAACTACCACTGTCACATCCTAAACACACTCGCTAGTATTTATTTGGTCCAGCTACAGAAGGAATGCTATACATCCCACAATTTAATACAAAGCTGAAAATTCCTTCATTCTTCAGGTAATGAAATGAGGTCAGTAAAAACCCCAGGATGTCTGATTTCAAAAAGAGCCCTCCCTCCTCTAGAATTAAAGAGGCCTTGACAGTCATAAAACTATTTATATGATAAGCTTTTCCCCAAGAATGCTACTATCCCAGGCTCAAATTAGGTGTGGCCCAATCTGCACAATTCCGAAAACATAAATGAAGACAAACTATGAATTCTGCAATAAAGGGAATTTTCAGCAGTACGGACTTCTGGTTCAAAGCATGGGTTTTGGAGTCAGAGAGACTTGGGTTTGAATACCAAGGGCGCCATTTAACAGGTAAGACATGGGGTAAATTATTCAATCTCACTAACCCTCGATTTCCCAATCCATAAAATAGGGCTAATAATACTTACAGCTAACATGAGATAAAGCTCTAGAACATGGTAACCACTCAATAAATGGTAGCTAACTCGTGTGATAGGATTTCGATCAGTTTTGCAAGCTGGTCAGTAGTATCTTGACCTCCTAACCCTTTTTTCCCTCACCTTTCTTCTCTCTGCAACATAATCTAGTTGGAATTCATTTGAAAATAAATCACTGAGCTCTCAGCCAATGATAATGGGGATCACAAGACAGACTATCAAAAATGTTTCAACAGATATGTGATTAAACAAATACAGCAAAACGTTAATTATAGAATCTAGGTGGTAGGTATGCAGGTATTCACTGTGCAATTCTCTCAACTTTTCTGCATGTTCAAAAACTTTCATAATAAAATGTAAGGGAAAAAAAGGCTACCAAAAACTCCAACAATCCAACAAAATTTTATTTCCTTAGGCAACTGGATGATACCCAATTTACTTTGTGTCTTCAGCACTGTAAAGACACACTTCATAATTTCAATAAAATTCTCAGTTTTTACATGAAACCAAAATTTGGCCCATCCAAAAAGCCTTTGGCTAGCTAATGGATGTGGCTTTTTAGATAAGACTTTTATTCAACTAAAGTTAGCCAACTGAGGAAACTGTAAAGCTAATATAAACACTCCCAGAAGCAGGAAAAAGCTCTAAATAGTCAGGATTTGTTTTTGTGTAGTGCTTGTGAAGGAAGCTATATATAATGAAACTAAATATGGGTGGAAATAGACACAGCCAATCACTCTATGTCCCACAGGAAGGAGCCATGCAATGTGGTGAGGAGAATATTATTCTGACCCCCTGTGATTTACAATAAAGTAACTAAAGGGTAATTAGTCCCTCAAAGGCAGCCTGTAAAAAATAGACAATGAATTCCTATAACTGCAAACAAGAAGATATACTTTTCAGTTTTGTGGATGAAAACACAACAGCTACATGTCCATAAGAACAGTTCAAATAAAAAACAGTGACGACAGCAAGTCTGCCAAGGATGTGGAAGAACGGGAATTCTCACACATTGCTGATGGGAGCACAAAACAAAAGCAATCTGGCAAGTTCTTATAACGGTCAACAAACATTTACTACATGATCTACTAGCCCAAGAGAAATGCAAAACATGTCCCCACAAACAACTGTAGCTGAATGTTCATTGAAGCTTTAGTCATAATGGTCCCAAATGGAAAACAGCCAAATGTGTATCAAAAGTCCCACACCTGAACAAACTGTGGCACATTCATGCAATGGAATATTACTCAGCAATAAAAAGGACCAACCTCTGATACTGACCACATGGATGAATCTCAAAAACACTGAGTAAAAGAAGTGAAACAGAGCAGTCTGATTGATTTGACTCCATTTATGTGAAGTTCCAGAATAGGCAAAACTATAATGGTAGAAATCAAATTGGATCAGCAGTTGTCTTTGGGGGACGGGGGTGGGGTGAGTACTGAATGCAAAGGAACACAAGGAGGCTTTCTGAAGTGATGAAAGTGTGCCGTATCTTGATTGAGATGATGGTTAAATGGTCTAGACTTTTGTCTAAACTTAAACTCTAGGCTTAAAATGTGTGTATTTGACTGTATGTAAATTAAGCCTCAATAAAGTTGATTTAAAAGTGATTATATGTCCTCATTTATAAATATGAACGAGCAGTCCATCAGCATGACACATAACCCCATTCTACTTTTAGATTGCCTTACATTTTTTTCCTGCTCTTATGAACAAGCTCTCATGAAGATCCCACACGACACATAACTGCAGCATGAAACTGTTTCATGGATAGAACACATCCTTTTTCCTTCACCTCCCGCATCTTCATGGAAAACTGATAAACCTTCAATACTTCCAAGTCTTACAAGCCTATTTCGTGGAGTAATGAAGAGAAAATTAAGCCAGGGCTAGTTTTTACCCTACTACTGCTTTGGCTTCTTGTCCTGCTCTTCCATAAACAAAAGGGCACATTTCAAACCTACTGTAGTTAAGAACATCAGCCACAG